GGTTTTCTTTTTCCCATCTCAGTTACAATTTTTATATTGAAAATCCGTGCGGGTCTGTTCAAACACGACACACAGACATGAACGCGTGTCTCTGTTCTTAAAATAACAAACGTAGCTCTTTCCTGAATCACCTCTATTTTTGTTTCACGTTCAGTACTAGCACGCAGCCGCTCAAATGGTTTCTCCGTTCGTTCCAGACAATAACAGTTCTGTCATGGCGGTATCCACGGCATTACAGGTGAGATAGACACGCACGATGTCTACCTAATCTTCCAGGGTTCATTATTGGCTGCTGGAGAAGCCGTGGAGAGATTTGGCCAATCAAAGAGTCTAGCACAGAAAGGGAGAGAAAGCGTTCCACACAAACGACCTGCTACAGTAGCAACGTTGAGTGGTAACGTCGGGACGTACCTAAAACGCGGCGCCGTAAACCAAAGCACAGGAAAGCAGTTTGACGTAAACCAGACATCATCGCGGATACTAGTCAAAGAAGTGATTCGGTTAAACTGAGGTCGAAGGACCTTTTTAGTTGGGCACCAACTGCTACTTGGCTAATGGTTAAAAATGGACGCCTGTCTCTAAAGCTTTATTTCTCCCTCAGGCTATAGGGTGCTCGCTCTTACGTCGAAGGAAGCACACGAATGTGGCGATGGCCGAAAGGCAAGATCGAAGTGCCGCTTACGCCATTGCCAGGCTTGTTGTCGCCGCCGCTGACGCGCGCTACGGTTGTGGCGTAGTCGACGCGGCCTAGTTATCAAAGCAACGCTTTGTCATAAGCGAAAGAATAATAGGCGTGTAATGGGCACGGAATCACAGCCAGCAGGTCGCACGCGCATCGGCGTCCGTACGGAAAAAGGAATACGGTAGAGAGGCACGTCAATCGTTTTTTAGCCCAAATCGTTCACGACGAAAACGAACAAACGGGAAATCAAAGGAAAGTCTACAAAGTAGTTTTAGTTAGCCTGACTTGTTTAGTTACGTCTACCGGTAACCTTTTCGGCCCGCGCGAATCAGAAGATACATTTGAGCAGGAGATTATGTACGATGCTAAACAATTTGAGTGGTAACTGTTTGTAACTAAAAAGACATATGTTAATGGTCTATAGTATAAGTGGATCAGCACGGTACACTCTCGTGAGGAATCACTGCGCCGACTGGTCTCTTAGATAACAGATCCTCCATAGGAAATTAGATAATATATATGCGAAGAAAGAAAGTTTGGTCCATACTTTTTTAGTTAACTTCTAGACTAGCTCAATTCTACTCGACGTAACGGTCGACGATTGGTTTTATGCTTTGACGTTTTAATTCACTTCAAAAGGTCGATGTATAAAACCATTTGCTCTATTCACTTACTTTCTATCGACAAAAGAGCATCAATGATGTTCATCTATAGGTAAGCTCAACTATGCGGGGCAATGCCAAGTCACTTAGTTGCCAGCGTTGCAATTTCCTTATTTGCTAATTCCGTCATTACTTTAGCTGGCGCTACCACTATTTCATGATAAAACCAAAAGGTCTATTTACTGATCGTGCGTCGGTCGCATAGCGAAACTAAATGCGGCGGCGCGTGACGTAACATTGAAGAGCGCGGTCCACGTTTAGAATGGGTTCCTTGGCTTCTGCCAAACTCAGCCTGGTTTGATGTCTGCTAGCATGGACCGGTTAGCTAGTCGCCCTTTGGATCGTCGCAGTGTTACCAACACCGGCGATACATATCAGGCCAATACACAACACAGCGGCGCGCAAGCATGGGAAACTAAGCTCGAGATAGAGAACGCTAGTCGAACACAGTTCAGTGTCGAATATAGCCCACGCCCGAATACACATACAGCTTAACGACTTATATACAACAAGTAAATATCGACAGCATTACAGGGAAAGTCACAGGCAAACCACAAATTGGGCCTAAGGTTGGGCAACTCACATAGGATCAGGTACAGCGCTTCGTCTTTTCTTGCGAGAGCTTCCCGATATCCAAGTCCAGAACCCTGCGTTCTTTTCATTGAAGAGCGCGCGGCCGACCTCGCGGGTGCAGTAAGAATGGTGGCTCTTCCCCCCCCCCGTCCCCGCGTTTCCTCCTTTGCCCATCCAGCAAGTAAATCGTCACAACCGTAGTTATGGATCGCACTCGGTGACTCTTCCACCAGAAACCCAGTCAGCTAACTTAGTCAACTTGCCGCGACTTCCCCACGCCGTTTTGGAAAAGCGGTAGTATTACTTCGGCAGCGGTGGTCACTCTTGCGACGTACATTAAATGCTTCGGCAGCAGCGGAGTTTTCGCGCCTATTTCTTTCATCTATCCGATTGATGGGCGCATGAACGAGAACCGCCCTCTGTTGTATCGCTTTATGCAGGCCAATGGCTCGTCACTGGTCTCTGAACCACAAGAGACAAAGACCGAAAAAGGGGTACGATGAATTGTTGACTGGAAGATCACATCAATGACGCAAATAGAACGCCACCTTCCAGACGATTGCACGTCGACGACCGTGGGGTTGAATTCTCGTCGTTGACCTAGGACCATGGCTCCTAGGAGCGTCCGTAGGAAGAATGCGACACAGGGATCGAGTCCCCTTGAGAGTGCGCCTGACGTAATAATAGTGCCACCAAAGACTAGCGAACATGGCCCGTAACGAAAGTTGACTTATATAATATGACACATATGAACAAAACCTGAAGAGAATACCCTCGCATGTAAGTAAATGCTTCGGCCTTTACTTCCCATTACTGAATATTGTTTTTGACGGCTGACATTTTCCAGCAAGAAACGGGTCCGTAAGCTTAGCAGGTAAACATATTATTACTGCACCATCGAGCGGTATGCACCTTAGCATGTGCGAACTGGACCCGATCCGTAAACCTCACAAAAGCGTACCCATGTTTCGATCAGTAGAAACGTCTATAAATGGTGTATAAGAAATGCATAGCGGGGAAAATAAGCCCTAAATTCACCTTCAGAGCTATTCAAACTCTGCATGTACGATTACTGTATATCCCTGGTATATCGTAAGTTAAGTTCAAGCACACACTTGTTAAGCTAGAAAGAACATTTACTTTTATATCATAGATTTTCATTATTCCAAATCTAATTCATTCAAACTTCAGGTTTAGACATTAAATAATCACTATTGAAAATTGTTTGAGCAGGAGAATCATTAATTATGTGGATGAAACGATCTGAAAACACAGCTAAGTTCAGGAGACATCTCTATGTGTTTTATAGCTCTGGCGGAGTTGAGGCATCGCAAAACGTACCCTCCTTAGCTGCTAACCTCTATCTAGGCACATAATAGGCGTCTATCGATTTCTGTCGAAGAGCTTTGGTGAGATATCTTGTTGTGTAAGCACGCCCCGACATATGGGGCAGTTCTAGTACATAATATGGAACCTCTCGAAAACTGGGCATTCAGCACGATTATTCGTAACTAAGAGGGCTATTACTGCCAAGGTAAATTTTTGGTTTAGCACCATCGCCAGGTGTGGCGTTAAAGAGCTTTTTATCGTATATAATGTTGCAAAGATATTTTTTTGCAGATCTCAAATGACATTTTGGGGCACACATCTGCATCCATACCAAAGAGCGTACAGCAACTCGAGGTCGATCATAGAAAAAAAAAATCACTTGACAGACGAGAATGTGTCTCGTTTCAAGATGGTTGTTTATTTGTAATTTCAGTACATTATCGCAATTTTTTTTGCATTGTTTCACGGTGATAGAAGATAGACGCATTGTTTTTACTAGTTAACTTAACACTCTATAGCTGTTTTCAAAAAAACAAAACCGTTGTCCTAAGGTAGAAGAATGTCCTTAGAGTTGATCGTATAGCCAAAGTTATGAACATGTTATTATGACTTTTACGTCGACTATAAGAGAAAGCCAACTTGAAAAATACCGTGCGCTAAAAAACAACTTAATTGAATTTTTGACAATTGGAAAAGCTACAGTTTTTTTTTTAAATGTTTCGTTGCCAAACTATTAAATAAATTTCGTGTCGTCGTCTTCTTCCTTTAGCTTTCTGGTTTTCTGAAACCAATTACAAATCAGTTACTAAGCTAAATATATTTATCTAGCGTAAGAGTGAAGATAGAGCTGTTACTATTATTCACGGAGAACAACACGGCGAACGATTCCCTTTAGTAAGTGACCTTTACGATAACGTCTTCTGACGAACACGTTGGTCTACCAACTGAGTCCGCATATTCACGTGACTTGATACCATTTACCTGAATTCAGAATTGCTTTGACGTCACTCATCTTCAAAATGCTTTTCCCTAATATAACCCCAAAAAAGACGACATCATACTGCGTATGCCTTCGTTTAAAAATTAAGCATCGCATCTCAACAGATGCTTTAGGCCACCTTATAGTTCTACATAGCTAGCTCTCTTAGATCGGGTACCTGCCCGATAGGACATGACAGAGACCATTACCAGCCGTTAATTTATTAATTTCTAGTAGCTGAGACATTTATCTAACGGTGAAATCAACTGGAACACTTTTCCATTTTACGAAACTATTGTGTCTTCAGTGGCACAGCCTGATTCAAATAATAACAATCGACTGATATTCGAAGCTGTAAGGCCTTCAACGAAGCATTTGCAGGATTTCGGATCTCACCTTAGAAAATCATAATTCATCAAGCAAACACCAGCACGTAATCAGGCCTGTTATAAGTCGGCAATAAAAATTCAAACTTCTTTGAATCAAGCGAGAAAACGAAAGAAGAAGTGTACCCAGCAACCTATTATGCTATACGTTCCATTCTGAGCGTTAATTTTAGATAAAACATACACGGAGAATCCCCTTTATTGCTTGGTTCTACAATATTCTTAGTTATACGGGTTATCTCTTTCGTAATATTCATTTACATAACATTCATCGTATGGAGTACGTCCAGCTATCACGAATAAGCACTTACTAAATCAGTTACTAATATAAGATAGAACGGTATCCTTTTTTTTTAGGTTTACTTTAATTGTATCATTTCGAAACTTACGAATCAGTATGGTGATTGAGATCGATGTGATAAGACAATGTAACGAGATCTGATGTCCCCGGGACAACGAGAGCTTCGTCGATGATGATGATGAAAGCGGAAGCGATGATGACGATGATACTTGCACGCTTCGATCAACTCGAGTTCGCGCAGTCTTAGCCGGCAAAAAGCCACCTTGGCTTTGCCACTTACCCCCGGCCTGAGTAGCCGGCAAGTGCCTCCATGTGCACCGTTTTGGTCTGCGGTGACAGTTCATCTCCGCGCGCCACATCGTATTGGGCTAAGCATTCGCATGGCTGTGGGCTTCCGCCGTTAAACGCACTTCAGTCAGTGCGGGCAGAGCTCTATGCAGTTGCTGTTTTTGTCAAAAGCTTGTTGACCGTAGACAAAACCATTATCTGCTACATGGTATTGTTTAAGATGTTTATTCTTTGTGTCAATACACGTTCCCCACCCAGCCGCTTTGGTAACATTCACTACAAGCAATTCACCGCATAAGTAAACTCCACAGGTATCCTAAATAAAAGCAGCATGTAGTCATACACGATTGAGCATTCAGATGACAGAGTCATGTGTGCAATCATGGTTCAGTGGAGACAGTAACTATGTAGAAATGCACAACATCCAAATCTCTACATCGTCGACTTCCTCGTAACTTCCTATGGATAGAAATAACCCAACATCGTGACGAGTTATATGATGTCGGCTGGTACGTGAGAAACAATTCTCGGCGAACTTCAGCAGAGTGACTACAATTTCCGTTTTCTGTCTACGTGAAGCTCTTCTTGTTGATCAAATCGCATATCAAGCCGAAACTTTTACCCGGATTGGGTTGCACTGGGACACATGTTAGCAATACTTACTTCTTTACTTCGTTGCCTTTTATTCGGCTAGACGTTGTTAGCAATCGCCTGCTCTTTATGTGATCCATACTCGATCCATCATGGTTAAACTTTGCCTCGTAACGTTACTTTATAGCACACCCGTCATCCACGTTCGTGTTTAGTTACGCTAGTCGTCATGCGTTAGAATAACCATCCAGCGGTGCTAGGTTAGGCATCGGGTAAATTTGAAAGCGGGAAGGGGGGTTAGAGCCTATCACCATGGATACGACACTACCTCAGAACCACCATCTGGACTGGATTGCCTTGACGTACCAGCCATGAGTCTCAGTACTTGCTGCTGAGCTGTTCAGCTTCCGTTGATCCTATCCAGTGTTGTCCTATCCACCGCGTTTCCGCGCGATTCCAGAGGTCCTACATACGCTTGTCTAATGGCGTATCAATATGCTGCTACACACAGTATACCCCTCTCTCTCTTTGTATCTACTGTCTATTTATACACGTGTGTATGTATGCGAGGAACCATGACACGCGCGGAGCTCCACGCGGTCGCGGAACTACTACCTGGATAGATTCATTCAGCGCTGCCGCGTTCTGTAGCTTAGGCACAGGCTGATGTAGTTGCTGCTACTGTAGTTGCTGATATAGTCGGGTCGACCTCACTCCTGCGCGGGCTCCAGTTGACTGAGTTCCTAACGAGTGCAGCGCACTCATGCCCTCTCCCATAGGCGGGGCCTCACCGGCAAACCGGCGACGATTAGCCAGCCACTGCAGCTAGAGTAGCACGACCACTTTGCTTGGCCTGCCTGCCTGTAGTAGCGTGGTGTGATAGTACCTTCTCGCCGGTAGCGCCTTCTCTGAGCACAGTCTAGCTCCGGAGACGACAGCCGCAGTGACAGAGGTGCCGTACGCTAGAACGCTGCAGGCCACACTGGCTGCTATCAACTGATTTAAAGGCATGGGGTAAACAAATAGGTTCACCTCTGGTGGCAGTAATATTAGCAACATCGAAGTGGCTGTTTCAAACGCTGCTGGTAAACAGTGGCTGATTATAGGGGCCGACCCTGGACGTTAGCCACGGTTACCGATATTTGACGTTCGCTACCGTTTACATTTACATTATAACGGCATTCGAAAAGTCCAATTCATCATTCATGTAGTATACCATTTATGTATGTAGTTGTGTAATGTTGCTGATGATTGGCACCTATACTGACCGAAGACGGCAGCGGCAGATGCAATATTTAAGCTTTAAGATTAAACCGTTCGTCTCTATTACTGAAAATTTGGAGCAGCCGAAACTGTATATCCTCCCTGGTTTGTATGTTCATTCGTATGAATGAATTTCCTTCAAGCTCACTTTACCTACCGATCCACCTCGGTTTGTCTGAATTTTGCTTCAGACGAGTCCGCATCATCATTGCTACCTAGTTTCTGATACCATAAGCACGAACACAAGGACGACAGGGACACTGCACCGGAAACAGATGGTTATTGCCTATATAGGCTCTGCACACATCTGTATATATATATGCTATGGCCATCGACCGGACATAGCGGCTGCTACGAGCTAACATCGCCGGATTTGATGCAGGGTTGCGTCAAAGGAAAACGTGCTAAGTGAACTTACAGCATCGTCTGTGATATCGACGAGCCAATTGATTGTTGCTATTGGTTACTGCTACTACTATTCGAGACGCTTATAATTTCCCCGCTATTACTGGGATGCTGCATGTATACTGTTACCGGCCCTCTTAGCTAATTGAGGCATGTGTAGTTCCGTTAGTCATCTTGGCACCGGGCGGTTTCGTCGTGTGGTTAACCTCACGAAGTCTCCAATTCGCGCGCCAACCGCTGCTATCTCTCATGCATTTGCTCTTGTCGATTGTTACGAGGCATTGGTCGCTCCCCTCGCACTTCAGGACACAGACACCTGGTCGACGGTCTCCTCAAGGTCGTTCGAATTCGGACCTTTTCATTTCGAGAGCGCGACCGCGCACGCGACGGCGACCCGGTAAGAAAGGAAGTGTGCGCTGAGAGAACAAAATTGTCCTGGTAGTAGTGCCAGCAACAGACCGCTTTTATTATTATGCTGGTGTATGCAAGCATTTTGTAGAAGCTAAAGTTATGAAGAGAAAACGAGGGTGCCATATAACTAATAAAATTCAGTTTTGAGTAGTTACCTATTTAAAAATTAGGAATAACCGCTTGGTAAATAATTAATGAAAATGGGTCAATTTTGAACAACGCAGGCTTCTCAATTTGGTACTCCTATTTTTTTTGCTTTTTGTGGCGTTCCAAGTTCATCCGAGATTGCTAACTCGATTCGATGAGGCAAAAATCAATTTATTTAATTGATTTTTTCTAATTATTTTACTCAAGGTGTCTATGCGTACTCATAAGTTCGATATTAAATAAAGTTAGGACATAGGAGTATTGCTTCAGAAAGAAACAACAGGCCTCGTTAGAAATACATGCTGCTGTTTTTAAAGATATCTTTCAAAAACGTTTGTGAATTGCAAGAAACAATTTGGTGGTACGCCGTAATAACTGCGAGGGAGCATAAAGAATAAAAGTATATTAGGAGCGTAACGATTTTCTAATTATAACTTAGTTACCTACTATTTTTAATTTATAATTACTTTAAAATTTATGGTTACTTTTATTTTTATTTTACTTAATTAGGGAGTGAAAAAGATCAAGATTATGGTTTTCAATCTCGTTATTCAGCGTTATTGCGAAAACTTCATTGCAACTGGCATAATCTATTGAAGAAAAAAAGAAGGTATATATATGTATATGCGAAAATGTCCGATTAAATACTAGAGAAATACAACATATCCATAACTCAGTTCCAAACGTCCAATTCAATAGGGCATCATTTGAAAAAAAGGTAGTCACACCGTTTATAACTGTGACGTACCAGATTGAAATTCACATGTTACTAAAAATAACTATAAATACGGTGTTTCATTAATCATCGAAAGATTAAGTAAGTTCCGAAAAAAAAAACGTCATGGAAATAAGCAGCATGATATTATTGTAACCAATCATTAAAGAGAAATTATTTTCAAAACGCGTGACGGACCCAGCTAAAAAATATTGCGTCACAATTGTTTTTTTCTTTATTTAATCAGGTTTGTTGTGTACCATAGGCCGTTGACAGAGTCTGATATCCTTAGAAATGTCTAGATCCCCTTTGAACCATGATACAAGGTGCTTTTAAAATGCGTGTATTTCGTTTAACAGAGTGCCTACCCCAAAAAGAGCGTCCGTCGCAGGCATTTTCACTAGTAGGTAACCAAGCAACACGAAAATAAGTTAACTTGCATTACAATTTATTCACTTAAATTATTGTTACCAATGGATAACGGGCAGGTCTAAAGGAAAAGCAAAAGTATGAATGAAGACGTCCAAAGTCACGTACAGTTTGAGCTGTGGTACTGCGCAATCATATTAGAAAAAGGAGTCTACACAAAAGCCAATTTTGTTAGAGAAGAGCAGCCTGGCACATGTTAATGTAATCAGGCGACACCCATCTCACGGGTTGCCGCGCAATGTATCTAAGCTCTGCATTTGGTATTGAAGATCAAGGCACCAACAGAAGCCAAAGTCGCTATTCAGCTAGCAGATAAACCCCTCTATTTGGTGGAATTTTGGCTTTCGTATGGCGGCTGTGAAATACACCTTGTAGTGATTCACCAGTTTGATGCTCTTAATTGACCGACAACTCGTCTTACAGCCACAACGTACGAAAGCGAAGCTACGCGGACTTGATATCACTGCGGCCCAGACGTCATGCCCTTGCGCATACTCAGCTTTCCTGCGGTCCTATTAGATTACTTTCGATAGAAGAATGCGTAGGGTTTAGTAGTCATCCTGTAAAGCAGGTCTGACTTATGGGCGCATTGAGTAACTATTCACGCAGTAGATCGAAAGCGTTTTACTAAGGAACAACGCTGTAAGTAACATGAATTAAAAACCGCCATCAATCTCTGAAATACAGTTGTCTTCATTTATTAAAGTCAACGTATATTTGTAAAAGTTAAAGGTTTCAGCGCTTGCATAGTACTACATTTTTTGTAGGGGGCGGAGGGGGATGTTTTTTACGCACATATAGACGAAAAAGACTGTTTTTCTATCACTCATATAGTTTATCTTCTAACAAACGTCTTTTTAAATGACGGAGCTTGATGGTGTTACACAAAATTAACTTTTAGTCGTGGTGCAATAAACAAATATCTAATAGTCTGGTTTCAGTACTAAGCAAGTCACAACCTAAATTTTCACACGTATGTGTCGCGCAAAAAAATATAGACCTTCAAATTCAGTATGACAAATAATTTTAATTCAACTATATGCCTGGGCTCGCAAAAATCATCATAGATTCTCGCATTTACCTTCTAATAGAAGTAGAGGGTTCACTACAATTGCAAAAGCTTATCATTTGATTAGTGTCCATCTTCGAAACAAAGCAAAAGACCCCAAAAAAAAAACAAACTTTTGGAATAAAGTTTGTTGAGACGATTAAATGGCGCCCTGGATGTCTGCTTCGAAAATCATAGACAAAGCGCTATCTTACGATCCTAAACAGCAAAAGAGAGTTGACTGAAGGAAACCTCATTCAATGGCAACGTACTTATATTTTACGCACGTTACGGCATTAGTCTCCTAATCAATAGCTCTTTCATTGGTTATCTGCTGCTTGAAGCAGAATTCCTCTTCGTTCAGACAGTACTTGGAATTCGGTGTCTGGCGGTACACCGGAGGTCATCCGAGGACACAAATGATTTGTTATAAGCATTGCATGTGTTCTTTTCGATGCTGCCTTTGAAGGCTAAAAGTCCTGCGCAGGCGGCGTTAGACGCCGGAAAACCCATCCGATTACAGTTTGTATTATCATTAGATGCTATTTATTTGGAAGAAGTGCGTCCTTTGGTGACGGCTGATTAGTAAAACGGAAGGAACTGTAGCTTGCCTTACAACTTTGTCGTTTGGTGTCGTCTGAGAAAATGGTCGAGACTCAAAAGAATCTCATTTCTCGGGTGAGTTCCCTTTACGAAAAGTAAAATCTTGATGACGACGATTATGCCTCTACTTCACGTATTACAAACTTTAGATAGAACAAACTGACCTTCATATGGTTTTGTTATTTTGGCTGCCAGACTCCTCAAGCCATACCAGTTAGACGAAGTTGGTATGGAGTATTTTCGTTCGACATCATATTTCTCAAACAGAGAAAGAAACAGCTTTCAATGAATCAATGATCATGAAAAAACTACCTACATTTTACAACTTCTACCAAACACGAGCGATCATATAAAATCAGACATCCTTTGACAAGTCTATTTATCACCAAATACGGTTAAGTGATAATTGTACCGGAGGAACACTACGAATATATGGTACTTGCTTGAGAACATCAGGTTCTTCAAAGTGTCAACGTCGTTATCTCTCAAGAAGAAGATGATTACAAAAATGTTTTTCTATTATTATTTTTCTATTTAATAGTACGTCCTGCGTAGCTTAAAATTAATGGTGGGGGGTTATGCTGTTCTGTTAGAGCTGGTAAAAATTCAGTGATAGCTTAGCTTAATGTAGCGGTGCGGGGTTGTTTCTAGTTTAGGAAAATGAGCCAATCTTCGTTTTTGGATGTTTTCGTAAGAATCCTGATTAGATTCGTATCAGTGGATGAATCGAGGTACCGGAAGCGACTGACGTTGGATAATTTTGGTTTTTTGTATCCCTTACTGGATTACCGCGGGATGACAGCATCGCTGTCTGATGTCCTGTCAGACTCCATTGCACGAACTCGGTTTGAGCTTCGGAATGAATCGGAAGAAAAAACTCAAAATCGCCAAAACACGAAGAATCGCCTTTCTTCTCGTTTTGTAAAAAGAAAGAAACAAGCTAAAGTATATGGAAGAAAACGCAAATATTGCGTTTCAGTTTTAAATAAATCGATTTGTTTTTGAATTTTCTGAGAATTTTTGGAAATCATTTCTGAATTCAGTGACAAACGATTCAAATTCAAATGCTTATTTACAGATTTTTGTAATTGGTCTACTTACGAATTCCTTTCACCAGAAAGTAATTAGAGAATCGAGGAAAGCAGTAATCTAGGCAAGACAGGTTTGTTTGATTGCGATTCAATCAGGATACAACTTTATTTAACGACGTATCGCTTCATAGGAATTAAGTACCTGTGGTCGATGAATGATATGAGTCTTTGTTTTTACTGTATTTTAGCTTCACGTGTGTTTTACTACTTTTGAATAATTGAAATTGTTCCAAGAAAAAAACGACCGTAAGAACAAACGTTTGCCTGGCCGTCTATTTCTATGTGAAGTACAAGCGATAGTTAGGATATTAGGCACGGACATGTCTTATTGCAAGTGAAACTCTTCCACAGGACTTTCAAAGCTTTCATCATGACTTAAAGCTAGGTACTCCAAGCTATAGTATTGATATAGACACCAACACACTCTCTCTAGCCCAACCTATTGAGGTATTCTTTAGCAGCGTTTATCCTTTAACTTCCTCAAAACATGGTACCTTATATGGTCTTACCCTTAAGGGTAAATACGGCCATGCTGAAGCTGATCTGAAGCCGCTCGCGTGCGAAGTAATCGCTACGTTTTCCGCTATAGAGCAATGCACACTTATGATGGTCTGACAAATCTTTGGGGTAGTTCTTTAAAACCCTTCGCGTAAAAAATAACTAAATAGTTTAATAAAACGTTATATTTAACTAACAGTTAAGCAGCAGAGTAAAATATACTTTTAGAGTGAAATATATAAAAAAGATATCATTTTGAAAATTATAGTTCCATTAACCTAAATAAGAGAAAGTATATATTCTGTTTCGAGACTTTTTAAGTAACTTATTCGAACTGCGGTTACTCGAGTTTACTCAAGTGTTCCAAATAAGGGGCGTTTTCACTGAACTAAAATTCCATGATTACATTTTTGAGAATGTTACATTTGCATTTATGCCAAACGAGCTAACTTCAAACCAATCAAAATTTGCGAAGATAAGAGTAGTTGCAAATTTAAAGAACACTAAACTAATTCCAAATTAATATTAATATAATAATTAATAATTGGATTAATAAACATCAGTATCTCTACTCAAATAAAGATACCTGTTTTTATCGGTTCACTACCACTTAGTCAACCGTAAACTTTACGTAACACCCCTGTGGACTTGATCTAAACACCTTTGTCCATTCCTCAAAGAAAGCAACTACCAATTTTTTTTATCAAAAAATTAAAATGTTCAGCTTTTAGAAATCATTATCCAAATAGGTTTAATCTATGGTCCTCGTGATGGTACAGTAATAACGTGTTACCTTAATAGGTTCGATTCTAAACTAGGCGTAGATACAAATTGTTTCGTGCTAGAACGAGTCGCCCGTTTGAAGTAACTAAAACATTATCGCATGTTAAAAATCAAACTTTTTACTTGGCTTTGTTGAAGTTATGAGCATATTGCGTTAACGTGTTATTCAACAATTACGGCGGAGCCACAGTTTTCTGATCATTGTTAACTGGTTTTTCAAAATTACTTTCTAATGGTTAATATTGATCGTGTTAATAGGAACACACGTAAGTTTTGTTTTTTTTGGAGAGTTGATACGAACTTGCATAGTATTACTTACAACACTACTTTTCGACTCTCTATATCGTCCTATTCAATAACTAGGACAATCGATGATTTTTGCAGTAATGGAATTTGTGCATTCTACCAATATAGTTTAAAGCGAGTTTCGTACTGGTATGAAAATCGAGTAAAAACCTTATCTCTGAGCATTTTAATACAACCAGATTCGAGATTACCTTTACCGTGATTGTGTAAAAATTTAAATTTAGTGCACATTAATTTTATTCGATGTTTCTGTTTTCCATAGTATATCTATTGTTGTCGGAAGGTTGTACACATATTTTGAAACATAGTTTAATTAGACGTAAGTCAGGCTAAGTAAATAGAGTTCACTATCTAAACAGCTTTCTTGGTTTATACAAATTGTGTAGCATGCCCTATGTACCATTTATATTTATAGTAGGTATATTATAATAATTTAAAATTATTTATTTTTTGAACCCGCAATTGACTCAACGTTTACACGCTATATACGGAATCATCTCGGATCTAAACTGTGAGATTCTACTATGGGGATATCCGAGAGAAGCCCATGGCAGGCTTACATTGCGGAGTGTCAACTTAGACGCAAAGGAGTACATGCCATGTCTCTTTCCATTGATTGTTGGCCATCCGATTTGTAAGTCTTGCTGGACTCAACTGGGTTTTCTCCAACTAACCCATGAAATGGCATGGTAATGCCTTAGTGGGCGTTTCCTAACGCTGAAATTCAAATTAGCGATGGCCCCACGCTCATGGCTATTACGACAGTGCACTTAAAGAGATGCACTTTAGCCATCCAAATCACACCGCTCCATATTTTATATGAAATAGAAATACAAAGCTCAACCAACGCGAACTACAACTTTAGACATATATATA